ACTTATATACTGTTTTCTTTTGTGTTCTTCTAATGTTATTTGAAGTCAGTTTCAGTAATACGGAATTTATTACTTTACATGATTGAAATGTATCCCCATGTATTTGAAGCTTCTCTTCGTAGTTGTATGGATTTCCTATTTGCACTTATTTGTATATAGTGGCCGTTGGATTGATGCAGTCTCGTTGGGTTTTTTTGATGAACATAATTGTTATTTCCCTGTTCCATCTTTTAGGAAGAGATTGTGTTTGCTTACTATGATCCCTTTTATTTTCACATCCACAATTATTTGGATTCCTAGCCTTTAATTATCACCTTGCAAAAAGAAAAGAATCAACTCCCCTCAGCTACAGTCCTGTTGAATCTTCTCCTTCTGTGAATCAGAGTTCTCTTTTTTTCAAAATTTGATCAGGTGTAACCTGGCGTTTTACATCTGACTGTTAACCCATCTCCAGGATACGTGTAGTTCAAATAGTAAAGTAAGCATTCTCATTAATGGTTAGTGGGCTGCGATGTCAATCAGATGAGCGGTGAACTCTCTTCAGGATACGCATAGTTAATCTAGTAAAGCATTCATTATTGGTTAGTGGGCTGTTATTTAAAAAATCCTGGCAATGTTATTTTTATATCTCATTTTTTTATGGGTGTCATTGGGTCCATATTTGAAAGTATCTCATTTGAACTTGGTTTTGTAGTTATTGGCAATATACTGTTAATGGGAAAAAATCAATATGGAAATCATGCACAAGTCAAACCATTCACTATTACATATGTTAATGGAGGGAGTATATCAATTATTGTGTGTGGATATTTATCTCATTTGGAACAAGTCATCATTATTTTTAATTACTCTGTACATTTCTCAGGTTGTTCGGTTAGCCTCCTTTCAGTATGCTCCATCTATACCCCCATTTATAGTGCCAAAGCAATCAAAGTTAGATGGAGAAGATTCAGTGTTTCAGAAAGAATTGGATGATAGAAGATATGCTGAAGTTGCTGTTGCTGGAGGAGGGGTATCTGTTGCAGTAACCCGCTTCCCTCCTGAGCAGAAAAGACCTATTGGACCCCTTGTTGTGGTTGGTGTCAGAGATGGAGTTCTATGGCTCGTTGACAGGTAAACCTCTAACTATCTCATCTTTAAGAGAGCAAGAGCAGTTCATGCACAAGGAAGTTTTTATGGGCTGATCTTTGCCCAAAAAAATGCAGTTAGCTTATTCGTGAATTGGGATACAACTCTGACACTATTATCACCTTTTTAGGTATATGTGTGCACATGCCTTATCTCTAAGCCATCCTGGTATCAGATGTCGGTGCCTTGCAGCATATGGAGATCCAGTTAGTGCCGTGAAATGGTACCTATTTATTCTTAGAACATTTGCATCTTGCTGACTTTTTGAAGTGGGAAATGCAAATGGTGTAATATTCAAAAACTAATGTGCAGGGCCACTAGACTTGGTCGGGAGCATCATGATGACCTGGCTCAGTTTATGCTGGGAATGGGCTATGCTACTGAAGCACTTCATTTACCTGGAATATCAAAGAGGTGCATATTGTTCCTGAGTGCTATTTGCTTTTTAGGTGTTATATCGATGTTCTATTATTTTATTTGATTATTAAACTAAGGGTATAATATTGATAGAAACTATGCAGAGTTTCTTCCTGAGTTCATTTGTGCTTATATTTCTCAGGTTAGAGTTTGATCTCGCAATGCAAAGTAATGACTTGAAAAGAGCACTTGCATGCTTGTTGACAATGAGCAACAGCCGAGATGTGGGACAAGAAACTACTGCTACTGATGTTACACAGATTCTTAATTTAGCAGTAGCTAAGCAAGCTAAGCAAGAAAGTCTGGCAGATGCCGTGCAAGGGATAGTGAAGTTTGTCAAGGAATTTTTTGACCTTATCGATGCTGCAGATGCCACTGGACAGGCTGACATTGCTCGTGAAGTTCTAAAGAGATTGGCTGCTGCAGCTTCTGTAAAGGGTGCTCTGCATGGGCAAATGCTACGAGGTCTGGCACTCCGTCTTGCGAACCATGGAGAGCTTACCAGGCTGTCGGTATGTTACTTTGACTAAAATTAATCAACAGTAAGTTGCTATTAAGAATTTGGGTTCTTGTGTATAATGGTGATTGTGATTAAAAAAAGGGATTCTCATCCATGATCTTGTCTACAAAAGTGTCATGATTAGAGAGTTGTGCCACACACAAGTGTTTGTCATTACCTTCTCCAATTCGAGCACATTTTGGGGAATATGGCAATGGTAAATTGTCCATTCATGCACACATGCTAAAACCTTCTGTTTCCTGGTACACATTTTGCAAGTTAAGCTCTATGAACTATGCTAATGTCTTTACTTGTGCCATGATCATATTTTGATAAGGTATATTTAAGCAAGCTATTCATTAGCTGGACTGGTATGATGTTGGTCGTACAATAAGGAAAATGTCGATGTAAATATGTGCTTGGACTTATATAGGTCATATGGTTCTTGCCAAATAAATTAGTGATCAGACAATGAACATGAACCATGAAACATTAGAGATATAGAGGATATGCATTGCTTTTTTTTATAAAAAAGAGAGAGAACGGTGGGTGTTGCTGATCATCGAATTGCCAGATATTTCTTCGGAAGAATCACTAATATTTGTGCACATTGCCAGGGTTTGGTAACTAATTTGATCATAGCTGGCCATGGGCGCGAAGCAGCATTTGCAGCTGCAGTTCTTGGAGATAACGCCCTCATGGAAAAAGCATGGCAAGACACAGGAATGTTGGCCGAGGCTGTTTTGCATTCTCAAGTAAGTTATATATTGAGTTTTTTTCCTTGCATTTTTCCAATCCTAGTTCATGAGTTTAGCCAACCTAAGCATTATTTTTCTATCCAATCTGTTCCATTGCTGTTGCCTTGAGGAAATCTATTTCGTTATGACTGTTCTAGAATGTGTGTGATTATCAAACGCTTACAAGGATCTTCTACTTTCAGGCCCATGGTCGTCCATCATTAAGGAACTTAGTCATAGCATGGAACAAGATGCTACAGAAGGAGCTGGATCACACACCCACTGTAAAAACTGATGCTGCCGCAGCGTTTTTGGCCTCTCTTGAGGATCCGAAGCTTACCAGTTTGGGAGAAACAGAGAAAAAGCCACCCATTGAAATACTTCCTCCTGGGATGCCGCCTCTGTCTGCACCTCCCATTGTAATTAAGAAGTCTGGTGCGAAACCTGGCCTGCCAAATGCAGCGCAGGCCCCGACCGCAGCTATTGGTGCTCCCATGGCTCAAGACACTCCTATGGTTCAAGGCACCCCAATGGTGCAGGGCACTCCCATGGCTGAAGGCACTACTGGAGCTCAGGCAGCTCCTACTGCTCAAGGTGCTCCAGCTCAAACACAGAACCCGGAAGAAGCAAAACCATCAGAGAGTACAGCAGCTCCTGACAATGCAGAGAAAACAGCAACGCCTGACAATGCCGAACGGATGGCAGCCCCTGGCAACGTGGAAGCTACTACAGAACCAGCAGCAGCCCCTGGTAATGTGGAAGGTACAGCAGCGGCGGCAACGGACGCAACAAGTAATGCTGATGCTACTTCTGGTGCTCCAGCTCCGGCAGCTGATTCTAATGGCGCCGATCCACCTGCTGTTACTCCTGGTCAAGTTACAAATGGTGCACCTTCTACCGAGACACCGGAGACAGCAGATAAGCCATCTTCAACTGAGCCATCACCAGCACCACCTATACCAAATGTGCCTGCTGTATAAAATTTGTCGGATTCGATTCGATTCTTTTAGCAGTGTGCCAGTTTTTTCGTATGCTGATGTATTCATTCCACTGTAATTTTTCCATACTGGTATAGTTTTCTGTATTCAGAGACCGTGGGCAGTATGTGAGTAGCCCTGTACATCGACTGTCCGCGTTCCAAAGAGAACTACCATATGCATTGTGTGACATACTTAGCGTTTTGCTGTCCGTGATTAATCGAGAGGACATACTAAAGTTTTGCTTGATGAGCTTGCTCTCGCTTTTTGTTTTCATAATGTTGATTAACTCTCCATCTATACTCGATGGGATAGTGCTGTCGCGCGGCAGCTGTCCTAGCATAAAGGAATACTGTTGGTTCAGTCTGTCATTTTGAGACGTTGATTCAGCATTACCACGCCAGAGACCAACACAAACTAAATCAACTTTGTTGACTTCACTTCAATGATACAAATCAATTGTTTAGAAGCAAACAGTACAAAATCCAAAAAAAAAAAACTCCTAAAACGTTTGTGTCGATATTAGGAGAACAAAATTATCAAGTAAAAAACTCGGGCGGTATTCAATTAAAAAAAAGATAAAATTATTCCACGGCATGAAAATGGCCATAAGAGTGAGGCATTCTCACTGTGCATCAAATTGAGCAATAGATAAATATTAATAAACTGGAGTATAGTTTATTTATAAATACTATTCGGTAGCTATGAGACCTGGTAGAACAGTACTAAAATGATACCCAACCTGCCTAGGTACCATATTGAAATCAGACGATACCTTACGTACCAATTCTACCAGGATCTGGTATCTAGGTACACATGATGTGAGCAACACAAGACTTTGAAAAAAATGAGTCGATTCTATTATTTGAGGTCCACCCTAACACCACCTACTCACCTCAAAATCAAAGTACAAATTGAGACAAATAAAAAATAGTAAGACCCTGTATAGATCCCATCTTAAAATTTTACACCCTATCATATCGAATTGAACACCTATATGAATTATTAAATATAGGCAAAAAAAATAACTAATTAATTTTACAGATTGCGACTAATTTGCAAGATGAATCTTTTAAGCCTAATTTCTCCATGATTTGACAATGTGGTGCTACAGTAAACATTTGCTAATGATGGATTAATTAGGCTTAATAAATTCGTCTCGCGGTTTACTGACAGATTCTGTAGTTACTTTTTTTATTAGTGTTCGAACACCCCATACGACATCCTATATAATACCCGATGTGATACGTCAAAACTTTACACCCCTGAATCTAAACAACCCCTGAGTGTTCAAACAAAACAAACTGGTACAACAACCGCACTGGTTCTTCCAAAATGTCTACTATAAGACACGGTTTTGTAAAGGGACAGACATGGAACCGGAGCACTTCAGCTCTGCGTCATTTGCATCGTCAAGCAAAGTCACAAGGCACACATATTATTATTATTTTCCTAATCTAAACAAGTTAACTGAAAGGACACGCTTATTCCAGAATTATTTGAGGAGGCCAGCGAAACCCAGTGGTGAGGTCATCGAGCACCTCAGCTCGCTCACACTCGTGCCACTCCCGGTGGCGTGGGACGATCTGCAGATCCCCCAGCTCCCCCTCGTCATCCCTGACCTCCCCGTCAAGCAGGTGAACGCGTCTCAGCAACGGCGACCTCTTCATTATCAGCCTGACAAAGCCAGCTTGCCAGCCCAGTCCGTCGAAGCCGGCCACGACGAGCTCCTTCAGGTGACGGTATCGATCCTGCTGCACACCGACGTCGAGGCTGGCGCAGAGATCACCTGCAGTTCTGTCTTCTGAGTTGTTGTCAATCTGCATTCCAGGTTTCAGAACAATTTGGTTTGCAATTATTTTTCCAAACATCCATGTGCACGCGTTTTCAGTAAGTAAAGTGGTCAGGAAACAACATACATGAACATGTAATGACTCCAAGGCTGGCGTTGCATCGAGCAGTAGGAGAATCCACAGTATATCCCAGTTCACTGGGACATTTGCGATGAAGAGCTTCTTGAGCTGACTGAACTCACTGAGAACAACAAATGGTTCGATCCACATCTGCATACATGAATGCACAGTGGTTTTTTTAAAGGCAATGCAATGTTTATACACAATTAGTTTGTATATAAGATACCATTACTCACCTGTGTCCCTTTGAACTGAAGAACAAGGGAATCTAGTTTTGGGATCTTTTTGAAGAATTTGCTCGGTGGATATGTCCTCTTAGTACCAGATTCATCATCTATGTCGTTATCTTCAGTTTGAATGTAGTCCAACCTCACATGCCTGAGCTGAGGCACCTCACCATAGGATAACTTGGTCGGGCGACCGCGGCAAACAAAAGTTTCAAGACAAGGCAGACATATCAGATAGATTTTCCCAAAGTTGCACCTGTCCACTTGCAGATTCTTTAATTTCGATGATGGGGCATAGATACGGACTTTGGCTCGGTAATAACTTGAAAATGCGACCCTGAAATCTGTTAGCTGCACGCAGTTTGCAAGGATATCATTGAGCAATCCCATAAATGAACCTTCACTCAATGAGAGTTTGGTGAGCCTCTTTACTGTCAAGCAGTTCCATGCACAAACAGCCTCGCAATTGGACAACGCAAGCCGCTCCAGCCGCAAGCTCCGGTATGTATCCAGCTGCTTGAGGTCATAGCCCAGGCAAAAGCCATCGACAACAAGCTCAAAATCCTCGACACCCCACTTGGCAATGGCTGTGGTGATCCATTCATCAATATTCTCATGCCAACGCCCTAGCGTTTGGAGCCTCAGCTTCTGGACAGGCCAGCGTTGACGCACATTCTTTGGAGCTAGAAGAAATGCATTCACCTGCTTGACATAGCGTCTCATGGCCCGGCGCTCGTAGCGTTCTAGGATGGCCGTGAGTGGTCTGATAGTGGTCATCCAACGCTCATGCCGAGCCTTGATGGCATAGATGTCGGTCAGTTTGTGTACAATCTTCTCTGTTTCATAGGCCGCCTTAGCCTCCATGTTAAGGCGTTTGAGGCGGTGATACCGTGGTGGGAGGATGTCATCGACAGCAAGGTTATAGGATGTGGGCAAACATCGAGGAAGATCACGCCATCTCTTTGAAAGGATGGTGGTTGTTACTGTCGTCCGTGTGTCTAGCTTGCCAAGGATCATGAGTAGTATCTCTTCAGGTAAGCTGCTGATCCTGTCCTCATAACTGGTGCATTTCTTGCCCATACAAATCTAGTTGGTGAAGGACATGGAATTGTAGTCAGTGAACCACTTAGTTTACAAAATAATTATCAAGACCACAAATTAACACTTCAATATCATATTATTATTTATATTTATTATTAAGATAAAAGAAATTGTTCCAGCATCAGCATTGTGAGATGCACAAAGCCTAGTGGTGGCTAGTACATTATTGCAAAGCTTAAGTTCAAGGCAAATCCCATATTACTTCCACCTAAAGTTATTACCGATGGTATGAACAAGGTAACGACAAGAGTAGTCCTAAATCGACCAACAGTAACAACAAATCGAGATACTAAACTAACAGTCCTTCAGCTAAAACTGAACATCTTTAATTACAGCTATTACTCTGTTCACAACAGCAGTAGTTTGGTGGGACGGCCAATCCAAAGTAAAATAGAAAAACTGGTCTTCAATCCAAAGTAAAATTGTTCCAGTCTCAGCATTGTGAGATGCACAAAACCTAGTGGGCTAGTACATTATTGCAAAGCTTAAGTTCAAGGCAAATCCCATATTACTTCCATCTAAAATTATTACTGATGGTACGAACAAGGTAATGACAACAGTAGTCCTAAATTGACCAACTATAATCGAGATACTAAACTAACAGTCCTGCAGCTAAAACTGAACATCTTTAATTGCAGTTATTACTCTGTTCACAACAAGAGTGCTGTATTCCAGAGTTTGGTGGGACGGCCAATCCAAAACAAAATAGAAAAACTATCTGCACTGCAGTGAAATTGATCCAGAATGTTGAGAATTAATTTACTCGGATATAATTACTTCTAATGAGGTCTGATATGATAAATCGTGGAAATTTCTACGAATAGATAGTGAACAAGATACAAATTTCAAGGACTAAAGAGGGACGGAGGGCATACCCGTTTGGAGAGTGGGGAAGCGGTGGTGGCGGTAGAGAGATCCGAGGCCTTCCGAAGCCGACGGTAGCGGCTAGGACGCGTCTCTGCAGCCATCGGTTTCGGAAGGCGGTGGTCGCCGGCCGGCCGGCCTACGGGAAGGCGACGATGGCTAAGTTGGTGCGAGGGCTTTACTTCGACGAAATTCCTTTTATCTTCTATCTTTATGGACCAAATTGTCCCTCATCTTCTACCTTCTTCCTCTCCACTCCTCTTCCTCCTATCCCTCTCGATCCCCCGAGCAAACAGAGTGCAGCAAATCAGTGAATCCCCTACCCACCACGACGAGCGGCGGCGGCGACGGGGCGGAGGTGGGAGCGCTCTTCCACGTGGCGCAGGACAAGGTCCTGCTCAAGCTGCAGGCGAACTCCCAGTGGTCGATGCCCGTCGCGGCCGCCGGTCCCTCGCTCGACCCCACCGCCGCAGTAGATCCCCTCGACCGCGACCTCGTCCGCCGGATCTGAAGCCGAAGGGGCCCGATGCTCCGCCGCCGCCGCCGGTGCGGTCGGGACGGAAAGGCCGGGATCTCGGCAGGGAGTCGGACGAGGACGAGGAGGTAATGCCGCCGGAAGCAACGCCGGGCTGCTGCTGCTCCCGCTTCCACCGTCGCCGGGGAGTCGGACGAGGACGTCGGGCTGCTCCCGCTTCCACCGTCGCCGGGGGAGTTGGACGTAACGCAATAGTTTTTTTTTTTTTTTTTTGATAACCTCAAACGCAATAGATTGATCTCAACTAGGCACGTCCTTCCCCGTTCCAATTTACCGACTTATCCAGACACGCAGTGTTTGGAAAATGTCTAAGGGAAATAATTTCCCACCCATCTTTAAATCCTAACCATTTATTATCCCTCATCTATTTAATTCTAACCCTTCATTCATTTCTCAATCCCAATCCCACTCCTCATTTTCCATTATCTAAACACACCCACAGAGTTAGGGATAAAAACGGATTGGAAACCGATGTGAATTAGCTATACCATACTTATTTTCATAATATTATTTTGGAAGCACAATTGAAATCGAAAACACTAAATATATAAATGGGATCACATATTATCGAATACGGATACAGAGTGAGCATGAAACAAAACCGAATATGATAATGGATATATATAAAAACCTCTCAAGTTGAGTTTCTTAAATCAACGAAAATATTTAGCATATTATTTTTCTAATAAAATAGTAAGCCAACATTCCTATATATTATATTGTTAAAATCCCTATACTGCTCTATAACCGTTCGTGAAAATCGAATTTCAGTCAAAATCCCTGTACTGCTCTATAACCGTTCGTGAAAAATCAAATTTCATCGTTTCTTTTTAAGAGACCTAGACCCCTATGTAAAAATGATTTTTCACTTCCTGTTCCCTTAATTGAACCCAAGATATTCTTCTCCTCATATAGTTTACTAACTATCTCATATATCAAGCTCTTTTTTTCTAGACAGGAGATACTATTCATTTTATTTCACCCCTCTGGAACCAGTAAATTTTGTTTTGCACTTAAAATAATTCCAAATAAATATGTCATAAAGTACAAAGTAGTAGACCTTATCGATCTCTACAACTTTGATGTAGAGCATGTCTCCATAGGAGGTTGTTTGAATCATAGTTTTGAGACTTTGTAAAAGTAGATATGAAATTTTATAACGAACATTTAGACCTCTAAATGATCTCAAATGATAAAGTTATCAATAGCAAAAAGATCTCATCGAGATCTACAATTTATATAAAGTTTATTTTCATCCGACTTTATATGATAAAGTTATGTATATATACATGGTTTTTTTGGAAATTGTTTCCTGTCTATGGATATCTATATGTATATACCTAATTTAAAAATATACAAGGCTTCCGGTGGATTTTCGTCCGTCTCCACCCAATTTTTTTTCGTCCGCAGCATCTGAGTCAAAGACAAGAAAAATCATCCATAGTTCGCATATAACACAGAAAAAATCTAACCAGTTCGTGTTACATCCCAAATACAAGAATTGAAGAACGGAGAAAGAAGAAAAAAACAACCCAAATCGAACAAAAATCCAATCAGCGAACCACGCCGGAGACACAAGTGGCATGAGTTTGCTACCGTCGATCTTCAACCACCACTGCTGCCTTCGAGCCCTTCGAGCTGTCGCCAACGCCTTCCAGGCCAGATCTGCGCGAGGAGGGGGAGCTGAGTGGCCACTAACGGTGGCTCGGTCGAGCTGCGTCGCCGCTTCCGCCACTTGCCACCACCTCCCACCGGATCTTGTGTCGGGCTAGCCTCCATCCCTAGGCTGTAACACTGCTGGGCTACACGTGTGAATACCGTAGCATGCCAACGGGTCCAAAGATGCCTTTTTTTCTTCTTTTTTTTTACTTTCTTTATTTGTTTAGGAATTATATATTTTCTTACAGCTTCATATCATGAAAAACTAAAACTAATCATCTAATATTTTTATATTTGATATTTTTTAGTAAAAAAAAAACTAGATAGTTTCCGACCACCTTCTATTATCCGTCGGATACTTATTCCTATCGCATTCGTTCCCTTAAAAAAAAACGTCCGTATTTGTTTCCGTATCCTGTATTGTCCGTAAATCAAGAACTATCTGAACAGTTCTAGTCCCCTACTCTGTGCCATTGCTACTTTGCCTGGGTAGTTACCGACCGCTCAGTCCGATAGTGCGCCTCCGATGTAGGCACAAGTGCTACACTGTCATGCATGTTGTGCTGCCATGCCTACTGCATCCTGCTCCGCCAAGACGACGGCCTTCGGTGGAGAACGTTGAGGCGGGTATTGCAGCCAGTGATGCCCTCGCTGTGCTCACCACCTCCTTCTCTTAGCACCTCTCCTTCGTTGCAAATTCTGCAACATGGCTGCCAACTTCTCAAAGTCTGCCCTTAACTTCGTAAAGCTCCGGGAGAGAAGTGTCGCCGGTACCAAATTGCTGCTAGACGGCTGCTCTCAGCTGATGTCCAACCAACAACAACCGTCAGAGATTGCATGGCCATGGGCCCATGGAGGATTTTCCAGGCATGTTCAGCCAGGGGCGGATCGAGCTAGAATAAAATAAAGGAGGTTCCAGTCGCTTGCTTTACTCTAGTTTGAATCAAATTTAACTTTGATACAGGTGCCTAAGTTTAAACTGACGGGGTATATATATGGTGAAAATAGATAAACTATAGGTTTTTTTTTTGAACCGGGTTCTTGGGCACCCCCCACCCCCCCCCCCCCAGCTCCGCCCCTGTGCTTAGCGGCAGCTTGAGTTTGGAATAGAAAGGAGGCCTCCGCATGTGTTTCCGTTTGGAGCACGTGGGATCTTCTTCTACTGAATTAGTTGATACCCCGAGCGTTGCTGCGGGCATAAAAGAGTAATTCCCAGTGTGCAATATTAGCGTAAATAATCTAATCGCTGAGAATCTATCTTATATCTTATAGTAATAATTATCATCACACCGATAGGTGATGGTGTATGAAATATTTTGCTACTGGCCAGAAAATTCACAAATATAAACATTCTGAATGAGAGAAACAAAATCATATAAAATACTGCCGGAGGCCTCCTTTCTATTCCAAAATCAACTAATTTTATTTTAGTTCCAAAATCAACGGTTATAGAAACAAAATCATATAAAATACAGGTTGAAAAGGGGTTATGAAGGCGCTTGATGTGCTCAGAACTACTCGGAAAGACAGATAAATTAAATAAAGTTTTTCACAATGAGTACACAGGAATGAGAGATTTTATTTTATTAAAACTTAGGAGTGTGTCAAGAGATTACCAACAAAAAATTAAACACCATTAAATCACTTGAAAATGTGTGTGGAATCTTGGCACCTGAAAGACCAACTTTCTAGGCATTCAATTTCAATCAGTCCAAAATATGGAAAATAAGATGTAAAATCGTAGTGCAAATTTCTGGGTCTTTTCATTACAGATGCAATTAGATACATTTTGATATCCAATTTTAGAACATTTTCACTTCGATATTGCATCTCATTAATCAGGATCATATAGCTCAAACTATCACACTTCACTATACAAAAGAAACTGCCGAGTTTCAAGTTTCATGGGGGTTCAAACAAAGTATTCAGGTAAGTTTCTCAAATAGAAGTGATTAATATGGGATGTTTTTGAAAAGCTTAGATGCAGGTCGAGAAACATAGCCTGGCCAAGGAACAATATATTTTGGAACCATATGTAGATCGACTTCACTTGAAAAACTTGTTGGTAGAACTCTAAAGTTAGAGACTGAAGGTTGTAAAGTAAAAGTTTTTACGCAAGGAACAATTATCTTGTAGCCAGTAGTAAACATGGATCATCAGGGAAACTCACAATAGTTTGGGCAAGCAATAATTTGAGGAGCATAATCGATTGCCACTTACCACCACAATTACTATAGGAAGTGCAGTTTTGCAGCACATAAGTAAGCTGTGATAGGTCCATATAGTAGAAAATCAATGGCAAAAAATATGAAAGATGATATGTAAAAGATCACTTTGCAAAGCAATGGAGCAAATATTGCTTGGTGCATGAATTCCTGAAAAACTGCCATATTATAAAATCAATCAGATAGAGTAAATTGTACCGCCGATGCAATTTACTCAATTAGATAATACATAGAACGGTAATATGTGTGGTCAAGGTTGTACGGAAGGATCAATTATAATGCTATACAAAACGAATTATGTAAGCAGATTGAAGTCAAAAGTATCAATAGAGAAGGTAGGCTACAGGAGTATTGTAGAAGTTTTAGAAGGTACCTGTTCTATGAGGCATGGTTGTTGCCTTGGCAGATGTGATGAGATCAGATGAGGGCGATCCATCGAGCAGTGCTGAAGGCTCCTGCTATCGATGTGCGCAGGTCTCGCGGAACCGGCCATGGTGTGGATAGTTGGAAGTAGAGGATGTTAGATTATCCGCAGCTAGATGCCTAGGGTGAGTTTGAGAAGAGGGAGATTGAGAAGATTGGGAAGATACGTAAAACGAGGTGAGCCATTAGCATATGATTAATTGAATATTAACTATTTTAAATTGTAAAAATGGATTAATATGATTTTTTAAAGCAACTTTCTTATAGAAAATTTTTACAAAAAACACACCGTTTAGTAGTTTGGGAAGCGTGCGCGTGGAAAACGATGTACATTCTCACTCATTGTCGCCTGAACGAACGTGGCTAGATCAACAATGATATGAGGATCACAAGGATTAGAGCAAGTTTAATAGTATAGCCCACTATTAGCTCTAATTCATTTATAGTCAATCTAATAGCCAATTAATATAATAGTTGCTTACTATACTATTAATTTATGGTCACACCTGTCATACACACATTGCGTCTTGAAGTCTGCGCTGCAGCTGGCAACAGATCTGTAGCCCGCTGCTCTTCTCTCTCATATTTTATCTCATTAAAATATGTTTATAGCTGGCTAATGTGTCTGCTATTGTACCTGCTTAGTGGGTGAATTATGAAAATATACGTTAGGTGAAAGGAGAATAAATGAATTAAATATGATCACTCGGCTGCCTTTTGATGACGACAGTTCCGCTGCCGGAGAGAAAATTGCCATATTCTAAAAGATCAATGGACGGAAGGGGAAGATTAAAGGCCGAAAGACAGGCCTTGATGGGCCTGGGCCTGGCGGGCGGGTGGGGGAGCAGAGAGCTAGCTTGATGTGAGAAGAGAGCAAACAGCTGTTGATGCTGGAACATAGATTTGATCGGACGGCTTTCCATGCGTTGACGATGTGGATTAACCTAGAGCAAGCTTTATAGGAGTTAATACTATAGTCGGTACCAACTATATAGCAAGAAGAGATACACGAGATAGCTCACCGTGAC